TTTTTTTTTTTTTTTTTTTTTTTTTGAGAGAGAGAGCAGTGGAGGGGCACAGGAGGGAGAGAGAGAATCTTTTTTTTTTTAATTTTTTAATGTTTATTTATATTTGAAAGAGGGGGGGGAGGGGCAGTGAGAGAGGGAGACACAGAATCTGAAGCAGGCTCCAGGCTCTGAGCTGTCAGCACAGAGCCCGACAAGGCTCAAACTCACGAACTGAGAGGTCATGACCTGAGCCGAAGTTGGACACTCAACTGACTGAACCACCCAGGTGCCCCAGGAGAGAGAGAGAATCTTAAGCAGGCTCCTCGCCCAGCCCAATCTCGGGGGCTCAGTTTCATGACCAAGATCAAAACCTGAGCTGAAATCAAGAGTTGGATGCTTACCCGACTGAGCCACCCAGGCACCACTATGCTTTTTTTGTACATGAGGCAGCTTGTCATAATATTATATGAAATTGCTAACACATCCTTTTCTCCCTATAGCACTTACTGCTTTATTTTCCTTCAGAGCATTTATCACCTGACATTGTACGTCTGTTTGTCTTCATTATTTGTGTTCCCTCAAAGAATATAAGCTCCATGAATGCAGGGCCTTGACTATTTGCCTCACACCAGGTTCCCAGATTTTAGAACTGGATGTAGGATGCTGTAGATGTTCAAAATATAAGTGATAAATGCGTGAATTATTTCACTACATTTGAGCACAGAATATCTTAATTTAGCAGTCATTGAAACAAGTTCATAGCAGTCTTTTGAAAAAATTTTTATTACAGTATCTCATATGGTGTAATTATCTCATAATTAATACAATATTTCTATTCTGTTTCTAATTTGCAAGTTGTAGAAAAGAAGGTATTTGACTCTAGCATTTTAAAAAAGAAAATATTTTTATCATTTGCTCTTCCAAACTAGAACCTCTAGCAATTCCTATTTCAGAAAGTGCAAAATGTTTTAAAGCCATTCATAGCTGGCTGATCTCCTTTCAAATTGCAAAAAAATAATATTAAGAATACACACTTGCAATATATATATATATATCAAATTATTGCATTGTACACTTAAAACAAATGTTATAGCAATGTTATATGTCAATTATGTCTCAGACATAGCAACCTATGAAGCAGGTACGTTCTTTTTTTTTTTTTAATTTTTTTCATGTTTATTTATTTTTGAGAGAGAGAGACAGAGTGCAAGCAGGGGAGGGGCAGAGAGAGTGGGAGATACAGAATCCGAAGCAGGCTCCAGGCTCTGAGATGTCATCACAGAGCCCAATGCAGGGCTCAAACCTACAAACCACGAGATCATGACTTGAGCTGCAGTCGGACGCTTAACCAACTGAGCCACCCAGGCACCCCTGAAGCAGGTACATTCTTACTTCCGTTTTATCTATAAAGAATCCAGAGCACGAAAGGTTGAGTAACTTGCCTAAAGTTACTCAGTTAATAGATGGGGTTTTTAACCCAAATAGTCTGACTCCAGAGCCCAGGCTCTCAATAACCATACTATATTGCCTCCTGCCATGAAATATTTTTATCTCTAATTAGTGGTGAAAATGGAAAGGCAATAAATAAATAAATAAATAAATAAATAAATAAATAAATAGCAATAAAAGGCAAATAACACAAACAAGACTACACTTACTAATGATAGAATTGGGATTTGACATGAGTCTAATTCCAATGTCACCAACTTTTCACTGTGCTAGGAGGGCAAAACACAGAACAGAGACCTGTTAAACTGCTTGCTGTAAAGTGTATCTAATAGAGCATCTAAGATGGGCAGTCAGAACAATAGTAATGAGAGAAGTCAGTACAACTTTCTCCCTATGGACAGGTAAAGAGCAAAACTGTTTTTGACATTCAAGATCTGGATTGGCACTAATAGCTAGACCATTATGTTCTTCTGTTAAATGTAAATATTTTGACAGAGTGTCAACATCAGATGCATCTGACTGTGATAAATGAAGACAAAATAAGGCCAATCAGTAGTCGCATTTGAACACATATCCCGGATGACCACCGTGATTGACTGCTGCTCCTTTGCCAGTAACAGCTTTAACTCCACTTCATTCTTCCCATCTTCTAGATAAGGCAAACTACAGACCTGCCAGCCAAATCTAGGCCTTGACTGTTCCTGTATGGACTTTGAGCTAAGAATGGTTTTAACGTTTTTAAAAGTTTTTTTTTTTTTTCTAAACGAAAACAAAGACAAATATGTGAGAGAGACCATATGTAGTCTGCAAGGCCTAAAATATTTTCCATCTGGCCATTTACAGAAAGTTTGTCAGTCTCTGTTGTAGAGAAAATTAAGATACCCAGTCATAAAATTACCTTTGCTTCCTGACAGGATCCAATACAAAGTAAAGCTCTACATCCTTGAATGCTCTCCAAAATTACCTAACACAAACCCCAAATCCCATAATAAGTCTTGTCTAACACCATGTTACAGAGATACTGCACAGATACCAATGATGTATGGTCTTCCTTATAACAAACAGTCAATAAGCCCAACTTTGACTAATAAATGTGTCAAGAACAATAGTTAGCAAGCCCAGAGTTGGCCAAATCCCATCTATAGCCTGTTTTTGTACGACCTGAAAGGTAAGATTGGTTTTTATAAGTAAAAAAGTCGTTTTAAAACAAACAAATGAAGAATATGTGACAGAGACCATCTGTGGCCCACAAACACTAAGGTATTTACTATTCAGCCCTTTACAGAAAATTTGCTCAGTCCTGGTCAAGAACTGTGAAGGGTCTGAGATTTTATTGTATTTGCAAACTGACAAGTTTATCTGTAACAATTTCATGGATGATGACCAAATACATGAGATTTCTGGATCAGAGATGAAGGGCTTTATGAAAGCAGTAGCCGAAGTATCAGCATATTTACACTGGTTTCCTGAGCCCCAATTCCCAAAGGGAGATGTGGAGGGCTACGCGACACAGCATAATCAGTGGGGTGCTTTATAGGAAAAGAACCCAAGGCTAAGGGTGCAGCACTGTCTGAGCAAGCAGCAACATAATAGCATGATGCAATTGAACCAGTTCCCCTCACCTGGGGAGGGAGCAGTCCAGCAGTCATCATATTGCAGTTACTTTGTTGCCTTTGTGACTTTCTACAACAACTGTTCAGAGTCAAGAGATGGATAGATAAACCTTATAGTCTGACAGCCTTAGTGAAACCACTCAGGGAAGCTCAGGGCCGGCCCATAGCGGACTGCCTCTTCCCACAGTGTGCTCTTGGTGGTCTCTGTTTGAAGGTCATGACAAAAGTGAAGTTTCCACTAAGATTCAGCAGAGACCTTCACTGCCACAGACTGAAACGCTTGATTTTCTAGTTTGGACATCTGAAGTCTCTTGTGTCTCCTACTGGTTAAAGCCATCATGCCTTGAGTGGGTGGCTAAATTTATGCTTAACTGAGCTCTGACATTTTTGTTGAAGTCCTTCACATTGGGTTTTCTTGCCTTGTCTTTTGTTTCATTTTGTTTCTTAGGAATAAAGTCTCCTGGGATCCTTCTGTAATCTGACAGATTAGAATTGTTCCTTAGTGAAGCTGTTCTCTAGCCTTCTAGCATTTTCTCCTTGGTCTGTCTGCCTGACTAATAGCGGTCTATCAGAGAACAAGTCTGTAGGAAGAGGACAGGCAAAGATCTGTCTGCCCTTGAGCTGGCCCCAGGGGCACAGAAGTTCAGGATTTTAAATCAACTTTGCCTTGAGTCACGTTTTAAAAATTATATAAAACCTTCCTCCATAGCCTTGTCTTTGTGTCCCTGGTTTGTTAAATTTCATCTGCTTGGAAGCAGGAGGTTTGTCCAACCTGTGCTTGGTGAAAGTTTTCGGCCAACTTTCAAAGATATGAGGTTGCACAAGTACCACCTTTAGGGAACATTGCAGTTCTTTTTCTTTTTCTTTTTTACATTTATTTTTGAGAGAGAGAGAGAGAGAGAGAGAGAGAGAGAGAGAGAGAGAGAAAGCAGGGGAGGGGCAGAGAGAGAGAGGGAGACACAGAATCCAAAGCAGGCTCCAAGCTCTGAGCTGTCATACAGAGCCCCACATGGGCCTTGAACCCGTGAACTGCGAGATCATGACCTGAGCCAAAGAAAGACACTCAACCAGGCACCCCTGGAACTCTGCAGTTGTTATAGGGTCTTCTCAAGTGAAAATTGCCACTTCCATGCCACAAACCTGCTTCCTTAATGTTTTCACACTATAACATTAACTTGTATGTTTCTCTCTTTAACTGGTACAATTATACCAGGAAAAAAATTGGGATTATACTAGCCACTTCAGCTACTTTTGACAAGAACAAGATTGTTCATTTAGGAGGTACTGTGGAACAAAAAAGGGAAGAAACCCTGATGAAGAAATTGTCTTGTTTTTGTACGAGAAAGAGAATTTTTTATTTAAGGTAAGAAATACCCCTTCCTTTATATCCATACTGTGAAAATTAATAAAGGCTGGCTTTTTAAATTGTAGGGCTAAATAAAACTGTCAAGGGCACAAGTTATCCTTTAAGTCAACTATAATAAAATTCTTTTGCGTGTGTGCATGTTAAAATGAGTATTTTTTTTTTTCGTTTATTTGTGCACACACACATGGGCAAGAGGGAGAGGGGCAGAGACAGAGGCAGACAGAGAATCCCAAGCAGGCTCCACACTGTTAACACACAGACCAATGCGGGGCTCAAACTCATGAACCGTGAGATCATGACCTGAGCAAAAACAAAGAGTTGGAAGTTTAACCGATTGATCTACCCAGGCACCTCAAATTAGTATTTCTATATAAAATTCTCTCTTCTCTCTTTGCATAGAAAATATAAATTAGCCTTTTACAGTGGTGACTTCATATGTGACAAGCTGACTCCTTGTCATTGTGTTCTGTATTTCTAGGAAAATTTAAAGATTAACTGATGGTTCAAACAGACAAAAACATTTAGTTTTTATGTGCTCATTATAGAAATATCAAGTCCAGAAAATGTAAAAGATCTAAAAGAAAAACCAGTTGTCAAATTCTTAGTGTTTACTTTGTGAACCCTGAAAATTGTATTTACTGAATAGCCCTTATTATAGTTACAAGACAAAATGACAAAGCTTTGATTAGTTCCAAAATAAAAGAAAAGCTTTTGGTATGATTCAGAGTTTTTATATTTTAATTTACCATGTAAATATAGTGTCAATGCAATATTTGTTTGAATAGAACTAAGGTTAAATTTTCATGATATAAACTTCCTAATTTTCCTATGTTGGTTTTATAAGTTAAATGAATTGTCATTGTTTCTATAATATGACTAAAACTGTGTATGTATATCTGTATACATACATATAAGTATATATAAATGAAATGTATGTAATCATACTCAACTAAATGAAATGATGATAACAGATATCTTTGCGAGGGTTACTTTTAAGGAAATTCTCACAATGCTACAAATAATAAGGATTTAATATGTTAGCTAAGATTTTAAATTCCAGATCCCTAACTAATTTTAAGACTTTAAACAAATGGTTAACTATGAAGTAATCTTTTGATGCCTGGACAATTTCTTAGTAAAATGTAGATTTAAAAAATTGGTTACTGGGACACCTGGGTGGCTCAGTCAGTTGAGCATCTGTCTCTTGATTTCAGCTCAGATCATGATCCCAGGATAGTGGGATGGAACCCTGTGTTAGGCTCCATGCTGTGCGTGCAGCCCGCTTAAGATTCTCTCTCTCTCTCTCTCTCTCTCTCTCTCTCTCTCTCTCTCTCTCTATCTCTCTTTCTCTCTGGTGCTGGGGTGGCTCAGTTGATTAAACATCTGACTCTTGATTTCAGCTCAGGTCATGATCCCAGAACCCTGGGATCGAGACCCACATCCGGCTCCATACTGAGCATGGAGCCTCCTTGAGATTCTCTCTACCTCTCCCTGCTTTCCCCTTCTCCTCTCCCTCACTCGTGCTCTCTTTCTCTCAAAAATTTAAAACAAGATTGTCTCCTTCTGCCCCTCCCATGAACTCTCTCTCTTTCTCTTTCTCAAATAAACTTCTAAAAATCGGTTACTAAACATAGTTTTATTTTATTCTTACTTCTTAGAATGTCAATACTTTAACAAAATACACAAATGTCTCTGGGTGACATTATATATGTATCTGTGTGCTTATCTTTACTACCTTAAAATTGTTAAAATGATATAAAATGCACATTCATGCAGAAGAAAATAGCTAAGCAAATGTTCATAGTTTTTTGTCCTCTGATATTCCCTTTTGTTTGGAGAAAAGGAAGATGATTACTTTCCTGAAACTAATGTGGCATTTTGTATCAACTGTATTCAAATTTAAAAAGTTTTTTGGGGGACACCTGGGTGGCTCAGTTGGTTAGGTGTCTGACTTTGGCTCAGGTCATGATCTCATTGTCTGTGGGTTCAAGCCTCGCGTTGTGCTGACAGCTCAGGGCCTGGAGCCTGCTTTGGATTCTGTGTCTCCTTCTGTCTCTGCTTCTGCACC